TCCTCCATTTTGACCATGACTAAGAAACATGAATTTATATTTATATGACTTTTTTAAAAATCTTTTATTATCTCTCCAGGAGGAATCCCAAAATGTCCTCCATTTTGACCATGACTAAGAAACATGAATTTATATTTATATGAGTTTTTAAAAAATCTTTTATTTTCTCTCCAGGAGGAATCCCAAAATGTCCTCCATTTTGACCATGATGAAGAAACATGAATTTATATTTATATGAGTTTTTTTTTAAATCTTTTATTTTTTGTCTAGGAGGAATTCCAATATGTCCTCTCTTATGAGGACTAAGAAGCATGGATTTATACTTAGATGAGTGTTTGTGACTTTTATTTTGTCTTGCCTTCCATTTTTCTTGAATGTCCTACAGTTTGGGGGTGATTTGTCCTCTTTTTGCGAGGACAATTTTACAATTCTGACTCCTGTCTAAAGCAGAAAAGGTAAACAGCAGCCGCTTCCAGAATCCCTCTATGAACACTAAAATGCAGATTAAAAGGGGAGACCAGATTAAGCACAGATTTATAGACCAAAAATGGAAATTATAAGAAAAGTTATGTAATTTTTAAAAAAATCAGCCTTGGATGCATTTTGGCAGAAGCTTTCAAGTGGTTTCTTGAAATTTCCAACTACTTTTGTTTACTATTGCAAGACTTACCTGATCCTTTATCACACGGGGGGCAGTTCCATCTTTAAAAAGATAATAAAGCGCAAATAAACCATCCCGAAAATAAAGCGAAAATAGTGTTTAATTGCGCAAATGAATATCACACACAATTAGAATAAATGCGTAATAATGCAAAAAGAAAAATAAAATCTGCTTTTGCGTTTCATACAAAAGCGAATGAATTTCGTAGATGAAGTAGCAATGGTATCCTCGCACATGCGCAGAGGGATGCATAGCACCATTAAATGTTACCGGACAGGAAATTTTAGAAAGAGAAAGCGGAGAGGCTCATGTCTGCCTGGCATGTTTGTCACCCAAGCAAAACAGGATATCAGAGTGGCCCCACAAAACCATGGGAAAAACGGAAAAACAAGTGAAAGGATTATTGCGTGAATAAACCGAATTTGACTTTCACACTAGAGTAAATGTGCAATTACAGTAATATCGCAAATGCATTTTCGCTGAAATCCCGAAAGTAAAAAGACCCGGGATAACACCACTTTCTGACCACTTTAATGATGGGTTTTGTGCGACACCGTGTAAAATCGTTGTACGTAATTTGCCTTTTTTGGGGATTTGTACGGGATAAACTATAGATTCTCCCCGTGTGATAAAGTCCTTAGTGGTTTCCTTTCACACATATCTACTGCTAAGTTTTGAATGTTTGCTGAAACACTGCTTTTCTTTTGTGTGGTATAGGAACTCATCCCTATTCTTTCCATGTTATTCTTACCTCTGGCACCAAGGTTTCTGTTAAAGGAATGCCTAGGAACCCATCTGCGTGGTAAACTGAGGTACGTCTCTATCCGAAAAGACTACAATCTTACTTCTGAGAATGCTGTTGTTGTTGTTTCCGATGTATAGCTTATCTTTTTATTTTTATATACGGTTTATCTATCTATTTCTACCTATTTATCTATATATATGGTTTACCTTTTTATCTGTTAAGTCGCCTTGGGTCCCTTCTGGGAGAAAGGTGGCATACAAATGAAATCAAATGAAATATGATGGGGTTTTCTGGGCACGTTTCTTCAGAGCGGGTTAGCCATTGCCATCCCTTGAGGCTGAGAGGGTGTGACTTGCCCCAGGTCACCCAGTGGGTTGACATGGCAGAACAGGGATTCGAACCCTGGTCTCCAGAGTCCTAGTCCAATGCATGAACCACTACACCATGGTAGTCTCACTTCTGAGATTATCTCTATGTTATAGTAGCCTAATGCAGTGCTCCTCATGGTATCAGATGTATAAGAAGGACATTTCTCCCCCATTATATACCAGGGAATAGTACCATATTTATGCCCATTGACAGCAATTGTTTCATTCCTTTCTGTAACCTCTGCAAACCAGCTGCCAATGGCTACAGATCACCACTGGTCCATGGACCACCATGTTGAGTAGCACTGGTCTCATGGGTAGATTGCTAGAACATCGATAATCGTGGCAACTACGGTAGTATTAATAAGCAAATTGAATTAACCGATTAATTAATACACATACAACAAACAACCCCCGTTTTCTTCAATGGGGTGACTGTCTTGCATCAAAAGTTTTAATTCTGCAGTCGGAATTGTATTATGGAGAGTAGCGCATTAAACAGTGTGCCGATTGTAATATACTGGAGACAAAGCTTAAATTCTGGCTCTTCCAGCCAACTGATTGCTTCTACTAAATGGATAATTGTATGCCCTTATGCTGACAACTGAAACACGATGTTTTGATAGACCCTATGGTTTCACTATTTTGTGAATTTTTTTCCATTTTCCTAAGGCTCTAAAAAAATTTCCCCCCACATCCGATTTAGTCTGTGGTCCAGCATCTGCTGTTGTCATCCAGTAACAAATATCTTGGCTCAGTCATAGATCAAAATGGATGCTGTAGTTAAGAAATCAAGACTCAGGCTGGATCTGCACTGTAGAAATAATCCAATTTGACACCATTTTAACTGTGATGGCTCAAGGCTATGGAATTCTGGGATTTGCACTTTCTTGGGGCACCAGAGCACTCCAACGGAGAAGTCTAAATGTCTCACAAATTACAGTTCCCAGAATTCCATCACATTGAGCCGTAGCAATTAAAGTGGTGTCAAAGGGCCAAAACAGACCGCAGAAATAATCTATCCTGAGGCCACTTTAACTGCCCTGGCTCAGTGCTAGGGAATTTTGGGAACTGTAGTTTGCTGAGGTACCAGAGCTCTCTTAACAGAGAAGGCTCAATGTCTCACAAAACTACAGTTCCCAGGATTCCCTACCACTGATCCAGGGCACTTAAAGCAGTCTCAAACTGGCTTATTTCTGCAGTGTGTTTTGGACCAGAAAGAGAATCAACTTATTTGGAATACAGTGCTAGAACAGAGATCGGCAGATAACAGGACTTCCAAAAAGACATAAATAATAGGTCTCAGAACAAATTGAGCCTGAACTCTCGCTAGAACCCAAATTGACTAAATTAAATTTATCATAATTTGGACATATCATGGATGCCATGACTCATTAGCAAAGCCAATAATGCTTGGTATACTTGAAGACAGTAGGAAAAGAGGCAGATATTACAAGGGCCTTTGCAGACTGCTAGAAATAGTGCAAATTGAGTCCACTTAAGGGTTAAGGTTAGGGTTAGGGAATCATGGGAACTGTATTTTATTGTGGCACCAGAGCTCTCTGACAGAGAAGGCTCAATGTCTCAGAAAAAAAATTCCCATAATTCCCTAGCACTAACCCTAACCCTTAAAGTGGACTCAATTTGCACTATTTCTGGCAGTCTGCAAAGGCCCTCAGTCAAAATAGCTGAGACCCTGTTTGCAATATTTTAGGAGGAATGTTAAGAACACTTTTCACAGGTATCTCAATCAGAGGTTCCCCATAGGTTGACTTTGACTTGACGGCATATTAAAAAGCAACAGAAATGTATGACTTCAATGGGAAAGGCTGTGCGTTTTATGCTTTTCCCCCCACGTGGGTTCTCTGATGTGCGCTAAGAAACGAATTCCGAGAGAAGCTCTTTCCGCACGTAGCGCAATGATAAGGTTTCTCCCCTGTGTGGATTCTCCGATGCAGGACAAGGTGGGAACTCTGGGTGAATGTCTTCCCACAGTAGGAGCATTTATGGGGTTTCTCCCCTGTGTGGATCCTTCTGTGTTTAATCAGGTTGGCGTTGTCGCTGAAGCTCTTCCCGCAGTAAAAGCAACGGTGAGGCTTCTCTCCCGTGTGGGTCCTCTCGTGCGTCACCAAGTGCGAACTTCGATGGAAGCTCTTCTCGCAGACGGAACACTTGAATTGTTCATTTCGCATGGGGGGGCTCTGAAGTCTCAAAAGGCTGTCTTTGTGACTGAGTCTTTTCCCAGATACAGCTGTTTTTTCCATTTTCCCATGTTTTGGGAGGCCTGAGTCTTCTCTAGATACCGTGGGTGACTTCTGGTTGTGCAACAGTTTGGTTTCATGACAGGCCTTGTTCCCCCCCTTGGAAAAATATTTACAATTCCTATTTCTTGCCTGTCTCTTTGGCCTGCCAGGATCACCCAAAGTGACCCTCTGCTCCTGACTATGGAAATCATTCTCTGTGGTACTTCTCCAAAACCTGTAGTCTTGCTCCACTTTTCGCTGGCTTCCCAGTAAGCTATCTTTCTTTTCACATCCGCAGGCTTGTCTGTCATCTGTTAAGAATGAAAAAGACCAATTCTGATGTCAGCGATAAATTAAGAACAGAAGAAAAGCCACACTACATCAGACTGAAAGCCTATCTCCGGGGTAGGCGACCTTTCCCCTTTACGGGCCGAGGGACTTCAGCTCCCAGAATCCCAGGAGCTATTGGCCAACATGGGACTATTGGCCAACATGGCTGAGGCTTCTGGGAGCTGAAGTCCCTCGGCCCTTAAAGGGGAAAGGTTGCCTACCCCTGGCATCTTGTCCAATATCATACTTTCCTCGCTCAGTACTCAACCAAGCTATGAAGGAAGCCTACTAGCAAGATTTGAGTGTGATTACAACATCCCTAGTAAAAGATACACAGGGGGACCTTGGATACTATAGTGGACCCTTGCTGTATGTGGGGAATCCGTTCCATACCCCCCCACACACACACACATATGGGAAAAAACACGTATGGTCAAATCCTAGTTTTCTATGGTGATGTGCTCCTGTGCATGGCGCTGCGCACATACCTGTAACACATGCGCCATTTTGTCCTCTTAGGCTTGCTGTATGCGTAAGCTCAAATCAGCATACGGCAAGCCCGCGTATGGCGCGGGTGCACTGTATAAGCCAGGGGTAGGCAACCTTTCCCCTTTAAGGGCCGAGGGACTTCAGCTCCCAGAAGCTTCAGCCATGTTGGCCAATAGCTCCTGGGATTCTGGGAGCTGAAGTCCCTCGGCCCTTAAAGGGGAAAGGTTGCCTACCCCTGCTATAAGCAATATATAGACACCCCAAATAGTAGCCAATGAAGCCCAACCTCCATGAATTTATTTTACACACACTCCACCACCACCTTAAAACCAGCCTGGTTGGCAACCAACACTCCATGTTATTGCCATGAATTCCAGAGGATTGATCTAGGGACTTAGCTCACATCATGCTGAAGAATGGAAGTTTGCCTTCCTCAATCCTGGTGCTATGTCTAGTTATAGCTCCCATGATCCCCAGTGCAATAAATCTGGAGAATACAAGTGGGGGTGACTGGTGTAATGAATGCACTACTTTGTTAGCTTCTGACCAGAGCTTGGAAAAAGTTACTTTGGGGGACTACAACTCCCAGGATCTCCATTCTGACTGGGAGATTTAGGGAGCGGCAGTGCCTAAAAATAACTTTTGGCTTGGAGTGAAGCCAACTGAGAATACCTCAAAGACTTCCTCATTCAGTCCCCACCATCTGGAATTAGAATTAGATCTAGAACCTAGTTTGGGGAATTGCTTTTTTATTTTCTGGAGGATCTGGACCACTACTGCCAAAGTCTGTAATACTGAGTGATGTGAACTATTTCTTACAAGAGCATAAGACAATGTCTTGTGTTCCTAAAACTCACAGCTGTGGCTGTCTTGTGACCCCCATCTATATACATAGAAATCACTATAGGTTTGGTAGAATTCAAATGGCATTCCATGTTAGCAACACTGAAGTATTACTTTTCTGCAATTAATAGGAGGCTGAATTAAAATGGAGGTCCAACACATTCTAGTGTAGTGGTTTGAGCGTAGGATTTGGAGTCTGAAGATTTGAGCCACACACTCTCAGCCCCAGAAAATCCCATGATAGGTTTGTCTTAGGTTCTTTCACCACAAAAAGAGTAGTTCAACAATTTTTTAAAACCCAACATTAATAATATGCATATGTCAAATGAAGCAACCAGATCTGGTAAGCCTTGCAAAATAAACAAAAGGTTTTAAAAAGTTCTAGAAACCACTTTAAGGCTTCTTCCAAAAGGGATCTAGGAATTTCTTCCCCCATCCTCCTCCACTTTTCTTATGATTTCTGTGTAGGTGGCCAAATGTATAGATTTGTACTTCGGAGACTTTGTTAAGATATGTCTGTAGTCAGTTTCTATTATTACCACAGTCAAGAAGGATGTCCAGAGGGCAACCAAAATGATGAAAGATCTGGAAACCATGCCTTATTAGACATAGCTTAAGGAGCTGGGTATGTTTAGCCTGGAGAAGGTTAAGGGGTGACATGACAGCCATGTTTAAATATTTGAAGGGATGTCATATTGAGGATGGAGCAAGCTTGTTTTCTGCTGCTCCAGAGACTAGGATATAGAACAAACTACAGGAAAATTTCATCTAAACATTAGGAAGAACTTGGACTGGATGGCCCTTGGGGTCTCTTCCAACTCTATGATTCTATTCCCTGCAGACTGTGGTTGTGCAGTTGTTTGTTAAAATTAATAGTTCCTTATCTCAATCTTCTTTTACATCTCTTAACAAATTCTAGTTGTTTAAATTGTACTGCATGTTCATCTCTTTCAATGTTTACTGTGCTTCTAAAATATTTTAACCACGTTGTAATCAAATGGGTGGGAGCTACCCCGAAGAAAAATGTGAAGGGTAGGTTGTCAAGAAAAGAGGAAATGGAAAGAAGCCAAAAATTAGTAATATTGAGACTGTAGCCATCTTACGATGTTGCAGCAAAAATACCAGAAAATCTTGTGGCATTTTATAGGCTGACAAATGTTCTTGTTGCATGAGTTTCTGT